ATGGGGAGATGACAGACGATGATAACTCAAACCAACATAATGAGGATTAGGGTTAAGTGTGGTTCATATACCTTTTCGAAGTGCAATCGGTGTACTAGGAGCAGGGTCAGGTGCAGGACGAGAACCAGTTGGGCCTGATGTAGGGCACGAACAACGATGATAAGTCAAGAGTGGTGTTCCTGTGACTGGGAAACAAGGAGGAACAACACTAGACTCCTCAATAGTTAGTATGGGTGAAACCTCTATGTTGGAAGGTGGAGGAGGAACTATAGGAAACTCCTTGAAGGCATCCTATTAATCAAATAACAAGCTGTGAGAACTGCATCACCCCAAAAATGCAACGGAACACGAGATTCAATTAGAAGCGTGTGAGCAGTCTCAATAAGGTGCCTATTCTTTCTCTCTGCAACCCCATTTTGCTAGGGGTATAAGGACAAGATGTCTGATGAATAATTCCATGGGAAGTCATAAACTGCTGAAACTGAGAAGATACATATTCTAAGGCATTATCACTGCGAAAAATGCGAATAGAGATACCAAATTGATTTTTTATTTCAGCACAAATCCTCTGGAATATAGAGAATAACTCAGAACGACTTTCATTAAGAAAAGCCAAGTACATCTTGAGTAATTATCAATGAAACTAACAAAATAACGAAATCCCAAGATTGAACTGACTCTACTAGGACCCCATATATCAAAATGAACCAAGGAGAAAACAGACTCTGCATGACTCTCAACACTACGCGGAAAGGAAGCTCGGGTATGTTTCCCAAGCTGACACGACTCACAATCTAATGTAGACAAACTGGATAAACTAGGCACCATCTTCTGAAGTTTGGATAAACTTGGATGTCCTAAACGACAATGGATTAGGTCTGGAGGATCGGTAACTCGACATGTTGTTGAAGGACTAAGTGAATTAAGGTAGTAAAGGCCTTCTGATTCACGTCCTGTACCAATTGTCTGGCCTGTACTGCGGTCCTGCATAATAAAAGAATCATCAGTAAAATATATACCACAATGGAGGGCACGAGTCAAACGACTAACAGATGCAAGACTAAAAGGACAACCAGGGACATAAAGAATGGAATCTAGGGTGATAGAAGACAATGGGTTAGCTTGTCCAACTCCTTGTGCCTTAGTTTGACATCCATTGACTAAAGTAACAGCGGGAAGAGACTGTGAATATACAATATTCGACAAAAGTGTTTTATTATCAGAGATGTGATCAGAAGCGCCTGAGTCCATGACCCATGGTCCAAGAGTACTAGACTGGGAAACACAAGCAAAAGAATTACCAGCAACAGGAGTATCAGTCTGGGCAACTGAGGCTACTTGTGGAGATGTATGCTTACTTGCTCGATACTGAAGGAGCTCATTATATTCTTCTTTAGATACAGAAAAACTTTGGTTACCTGTAGTCTCGGTCTGAGCAACCTAAGCATTTTTGGGTGGACGACCATGTAAGGAATAACACATTTCACGAGTGTGTCCAAGTTTGTGACAATAAGAACACTTGGGTCTAGATCTCCCAAAACGACCTCGTCCTCCTCTGTTCTCCATAGTTTGAGACGCCCGAACATCCACTGTCTGCGATGCGAGAACAGAGGAATCAAGTATTTGTGATGAGATCAGTGGGTGACTTGGTGCTGCAGCAAGGCGGAGTAATCGAGAGAATAATTCATCGCATAGTCGGACTAGCCAAAATCTGGTCTCGCACTGAATCAAGATCATTAGGAAGTCCAGCTAGTGTAAGAACTAGAAACATCTTTTGCCGCTGCTCTTGTTGTTTTGCCACACTAGCAGAAACAGGCATTAATGTCTCAAATTCCTCCATGACTGCTTGTACTTGACCCAAGTAAGTAGACATATCCAATTCTTGCTTCTTTAAGTTTGTCATCCGTGATATCACATCATAGAAGCGAGATATGTCATTAGCGTATAAGGTACGAGCCTTTGCCCAAACCAAATAACATGTCTGGAGTGGACAAAACAAAGGCATCAACTTGGAATCAATAGAACGCCACAAGATGCTACATAATTGAGCATCAATCTTTGCCCAAAGCGTTATCGCCTTTTCATCTCCTTCGCTAGACTGTTTAATTAGATGATCTTGAACACCTTGACCTTTACACCATAACTCGACAGATGAAGCCCAAACTAAGTAGTTTGAACCTCCCATTAAAGGTTCCGAAGTAATCATAACACTAGATGCCGGAACTCATGTTTTGCAAATTATTACCAAATTAGAGAAATAATCAAATTTAATCCACTGAAACAGAGTAAGGAACAATGAAACAAAATAAGGAAATACTGTAGCTGTCGGAATATTACTGTAGCAGTTGGAATAGTACTGTAGATGCCGGAAAAATTCAAAGTTGTCGGAATGAAATAAAAACAATAAGGGTAGGATCGGAATTACCAGACGACCCAACTGTTCTGAAGAAACGTTTTCAAAAAATGGCCGGAAGTCCACTTTTGAAATCACTATTCACGCCGGAAAAATATAAAAGTTGTCGAAATTTGGTGTAACCTGGATGGGTAGGCTCGGAATTGCAAGGGGAACAATTTGTCCTGAAGAGTCGTCGCCAAAAATGGCCGGAAGTCCACTTTTGAAATCACTATTCACGCCGGAAAAATATAAAAGTTGTCGAAATTTGGTGTAACCTGGATGGGTAGGCTCGGAATTGCAAGGGGAACAATTTGTCCTGAAGAGTCGTCGCCAAAAATGGCCGGAAGTCCACTTTTGAAATCACTATTCACGCCGGAAAAATATAAAAGTTGTCGAAATTTGGTGTAACCTGGATGGGTAGGCTCGGAATTGCAAGGGGAACAATTTGTCCTGAAGAGTCGTCGCCAAAAATGGCCGGAAGGTGGCCCATGCGACGTCGGAACTTCGCCGGAAAATTTTCTTCCGGTGGCGAGTGGCGGCGCGTAGAGGGTATTCTGACGGAGATTTTTTTACGGGTTGGTCTCCAGAGCCCGATCTTCTTCGTGGTGGTGTTGGTTTTTGCACAACACTGACGAAGAGTGGCTTTTTTTTACTTGCGGCAGACCTGTTGGAAAAAGGCTTCCGGTCAACTGATTTTTCTTCCCGAAGTCGCTGGAATTTAAGCACAGCGATAAATCTCTCACGATTGCTCTGATACCATGTGAGAAGGGACGTGAGAAAATATGATATATTGATATTGTATGTCTATGCAATACAAGATATGTTAATTTATAGCTACTCTATACAAAGGGCATACTACACCTATTCCAATGTGGGACAACTACATATCTATATCTAACACTGGCCATGGAAGATGATCTGGAAAGTGAAAATCCCGTACAAGGTGGCATAGTTCTAACTCATGACAATCTAACTAGAAGAGGATTCCAATTGTGTTCCAAATGTTATCTATGTGAAGAGGAGGCAGAGACAATTCACCATCTTTTTCTGCATTGCAAGTTCACCACTCAGATATGGAGAATTTTCATCAGTCTGAGGGGAATTCAATGGGCAATGCCAGGAAAAGTCCTTGATATTCTAGCAAGCTGGAGTAAAATGGGCACACTTTCTAGAGAAAGAGAGAGATGGAGGATTGTCCCAGCATGCATATGGTGGACAGTTTGGGAAGAGAGGAATCAAAGATGTTTTGAAGATAAGTCTAGCAACATTCAGAAGATTAAGATGAAATATTTATCTCTTTTTTATTTTTGGTGTAAAGGTCAGCTTCTGGACGATCATGAATCCATTTTAGATGTATTAGAGTCCTTATAAGAAGAAGAAGGACTAGGAGTGCCTACTTTTTGCTAGGGCACCCTTTTTTGTAATTATGGGGGACTTCACAATTTTAGTGAAGTCTTATATCAATATACAACTATGTTACCTTTTCCAAAAAAAAAAAAATCATGAGGGTAAATAATAACAGAGCATTTCTATGATGAGCCAAGAACTCCAACAGCTAGCTAGAGTCTGTCAAGATGTTCCTGTTCGCAAAGGAATAGCAAGAAATAACAGTTCTGCTGTTCATAAACTAACCTTGTCATCACCATCCACACATCTCGCTGATGCCTCCAGATCCATTTCTGCTTGAAAAGCTTCCAAGACAAATGCTACAATCTAAAAAAGTCCAAGCAAAGATGACGTGTTAGTTTATCGTTTCAGCACTGAGAAATGCTATATGGCTGTACAGAGGATAAATACCTAGGAAAGAAGAAAGTGTCCGAACACAAAGAAAAAGCAAAAATGATAAGATCAACTATAAAAAAATAAATCATTACCTAAAAGTTTCTAAAAAATATGCAATATTACAACTTCTGTAATTTATTGAGCAGGAGTAGAACAATTAAGCTACCTTGCGTTGATATAGAATATAGTCGTACACGCAAACCAGTATTACTACAACAACAACAATTAGGCCTCAACCTTAAACTAGTTGGGATCAGCTGTATGAACCCTCAGTATTCATTTTGCTCCATTTGGACCCATTTCATTCGAATATTCAAATGTACCAGTACCACTACCAAGAACATAAATGTCAGGCGCTTACATTCATGCATCACTTCTTACTTACATCATTATCTGTGCATACTTAACTAAGCTTCTGAGACCATTTTGACAGCCATCAGAACAAATCTAGCAATTCTGAAAAAAGCAGATGCCGTCTCATTACTTCAATCTATTATATCCAAGTGCTACGATCTAAGCAGGGCTTGTTTTCTGATTGACCCCTCAGGAAGGTCGCTGAGATGGAAAGTCTAAAGGCTAGTGATGCGAACATGGCAAGGGAAGGCCATGAAATCTCCAGAGATATTAAGGTCATCAAGAAAATGGCAAGTCGACTCGTGCATGAATTATCCAGTGGTGGTAAATGTCCAACTTCCAAATTAATGACTCTAAATGGGCAGTCAACTGTATAGAATTCTTTAATTATTCTGTATGAAAAAGAACTGGTACCTTTTAAATTGAATAAATATAAAATAATTATGAAGATCTAGAAATATCAGCAGGAAAACACGGAGTTAGCTTGAATAAGACTACTTGAATATGTATATATGTATATATATGTCAGATGTCCGTTATAGGGGTGGGTAAACATATTTACATTATATCTTCTCAGATGATTCTTACTCTAAAGGAACTAAATCCTTTCCACTTAGGTAGGAGGAATCTTCCTGGCATGGGTTTGAAACATTTTGAGGTCAGCTTTGAGTGGTTTAACTTTTCCAAATTCCAACTTCCGTATCAATCATGGAGAGAAAAATCAAAGGCCTTAGGAAACATCAATTTGGATACAGAATATGTCCAGTCATCAAAATAATTAGCTCTCAGAGGTAAGGGAATTTAAAGGCACATAAATTTAGCAGACAGCAGCTCATAAACATGTTGAATCACAAATAAAGCAATTAACAGTCTGTTTTGTGCATTACGAGAAGAGGAGGGATCAAGAGCAGGCACATAAAACAAAGACAACAAACTGGATATTGATGTAGTATACCTACAAGTACTTAGAGATCAAAAAATGGGTAGCCACTGGAGAAGTACCCCCATTTTATGCAAACAGACACATTACCAATGTAATTACGTTATCTGGTATAGTGAACTCATGAGGACTTATCTCAACAATGAAATTGACTTTTTGGTTTGCCTTTATGTTTATGGAGAGCTTCAGTGGAGGTATAGAGACCAGACTTTGCAAAGAGTAGATATGGATGCTTACCAAATTTAACAGCCACAAAACTGAAATAAGATAGAAGCTGACAAAGTAGGCATAAGTCCAGGAAGTCCCCGTTAGTTCCTTGTAGCTCTGAAATGTTAGGAAATTATTATCAGCTACTTGGACCACCCATTGTAATAAGATATACCTACTTAAAATCATCAAGTTAGGAAAGCAGCTAGGTCAGAACTGGCAAAATGGCATTAATCATCAAAACTGTTTATATTAGCACAATAAAGCAAAATGCATGAAAGATGCAAAAACTGCAAATAGTTGTAACAACTAACATCTTACTACAGGTTACTCAAAGTTAATAAGTTCCCACGATTCATTGAATCCTCAAATACATAATTTAAACTTGTAAAGAAAGTCCACTTTGTTCACATACGGGCTAATACTCAAAAAAGCACTAAGAGAAACCAAACCTATGACTTATCGGGGGGGAAAAAAAAGAAACCAGATTTGTGATATTGATAGCAGTGTTATCAAAGACGAAAAGTGCAAAAAAACTCTAAGGCCTATTGGGACTTTAAGCGCAAAGCGCAAAAAAAGCGTGGGCTTTAATGAAGAAAGGCGCAAATGAAAAAAATACAAATATGTATGTATAGTCCAAGACAATTATTTATAAGCATAAATACCAAATATATGGACAAAGAAATTGAAGCAACTTTATTATAAAGCGAAATATCAATTGTTTAGTAGCACCTCTTCAGGATTACGCTTATTGGCAAAGAAAAGTATGCCTTAGAGCCTTGATGACAATGCTGAAGCTCCCGCTAAGCGAGGCGAAGCGCTCAACATAATTTGAGCCTCGTTTCATGGCTTAAGCGCGCTTTAAGTGCCCCTTTGATAACAATGATTGATAGAACGTTGATCTTTTAAACCACATAAAGAAGGATGAGCAATGGTGTTGGCATGTCACAAACCACTCAAACAACAGAAATTTGCCAAGTGTCTTTGACTTCCATCTCTTTGGTGAGTACTCATTAAGCAGAAAAGAGATACTCCCCTCTCTCAAAATTGTTAATGACCCCAATGTACATAATAATTACCATCTCAAAGTAGAGGAAATGTTCCTGAATAACAGAAATATCTCCCGTATATGTACTTGTCAATATAAACATTATGAAAGAATCTGAGCATCAGCCTAATGGTGGATGCTCAGCCTAATGGTCGAAGTCTTAGATCAGTGTAAAACATTTGAAAACCCTTACATAGTCGTCTAGGATATTGCATGTCTCCAACATAACCTGATTATAGAGTTCATGAAGCAGACTTACAAGTGTCTGTCCGGGTCTACAAAGGTTGGATCAGATACATGCTGAAATATTTGAGCATCCAACCCAAAACTTTAAAGTAATGGGTGCGGTTACGAAAATGGACATTGGGTCTAATTCAACCCTAAAAACTAGCTCATGAGGTGAGGTTTTCCAACCTTATAAGAAGGGAAGGCAACAGCTCATTCGCAACCAATGTGGGATACTTAACACCCCTTCCTTCCCCATGCATGGGACTAGGCATTGGTGCGTGGACAATATTAATTGGGGGGCCCATATTGGGTAAAAGAAAAATAGGAATACGTCTAGCTCTAATACTATTTTAAAGAATTTGAGCATAAAAAACCTAGAACCTTAAGCCAATTGGAGTAGCTCAGGATCATTTGAGCTCCTTTGGAAACCCTTAGACAACCAATGAGGGACAAGTGTAATATTTTCTAACAGGTGCAGTAGTCTAGAACCGTTATACTCTTTCGGAAACCCTGATCCAAGTGATGTGTGCACTGTATAAGTGAATGCACATGGATGTTACTTTTTCGTCTGTAAGATTCTCATTTTCTTAAAACCACAAGACAAGCTTTCATCTCAATAATCCAGGAGAATTTTTCCTCCAAAGGAGTTAATTCACAATCTGTAAAGATAAATATTTATCACAGCATTGAGGAAACACAACAAAGTTAGAATGCAGCCACTTAAGGATTGGGCAAGGCTCCAGTCATCATCCCTCATCCCTATGTGTGGCCCACTGGTTCAGTAAAATATTACTTTAAAGGTATGAAAAATACAGGACTGATTTATGAAGAATTTCAATCATAAAAGACGGCCCATATACGTAAATGATAGTTCTTCTAAGCAGATATAATGGTAATTGAGGAAATCCTAAAATCAGGATACCTGCATCCACACTTGCCAGTTTCCCATCACCAATATATTGAAAAGTGTGACCATGCCATTTGGATAGTCATTGAAGTTAAAAAGCAAATAGCTTAGATTGTCAAGAAACAAAATTGATAAAGTGACTTCCAAGTGGAGAACAGTACAAGAATTTGCAACAAGAAAAAGGGATCTTGATATTATATGATAAATAGGATAAAATAGGTTCTTCCAAGAAGATAATTATGAAACGACAAAAAGATTATCCCCTTGTCGTTTGTTGAGAAAAATTGTCCTGTAGAATGCTCTAATTTCACCATTGACAAAAGGATACTCATTACCAGCAAGATCAGTTTGGGCTAAATTGGGGTTTCCAGTGTTGACAATCCCCCCAAAGATCTGCACAAGTCAAAAGAAGAAACTAAGGATGAAAAGGCAGAGGAAGCATAGGAGAATAGTAGACAGTAGACACACAATACTGACTAAGATCTGCAGCCAAAGGCAATCTAACAGAGAAAATCAATTTAAGGACAAGGAGGTCCACACTTCAGAAAGATTTGAAAGCTACTTCATTTAATAAGCAGAAAACGAGAGGAATGAAATACTAGTGGAGTGATTAGCATAGCAATAGGCTACTAGCAACAAAAGAAGTCAATGTACCTGTAAACCAAGAGAGCAGTAAAAGCATAAGATGCAGAATATGGTCCCCAAGTATGGCATCAGACTTGGTATGAGGGTCAAAAATGTGGCAACAAAAGCACGATAGCGCTCAACATGCATCAAGAGTCTAATTAATCGTAACATTCTTGCGATAAGAAGATAGCGAATCCTGTAAGCACCATAAAATTGTCAGCACACAGAAGCATTTAGTCTAACCATAAGACAGGAGCGCTAAATTGTAAAGCATCAGAAAGAAAAGACACCGAGTAAACTGTGCAACCATATTCCTGTTTACTGTAAGCACCCAATAGTGGGTTTCTCAGTGTCTTGCGGTGACACACATTCTCTAAATTGTAAAGCATCAGAAAGAAAAGACACCGAGTAAACTGTGCAACCATACTCCTGTTTACTGTAAGCACCCAATAGTGGGTTTCTCAGTGTCTTGCGGTGACACACATTCTATGTACAAAAACATACTCTAAAAATTTGACGATGCTATAATCATTGGCAATCACATGAAAATGTAATGTTAGAGCGCAAGATATACAATTTGTATTTCCTTCCAGCTAATGTATCATTCTCGTGAACATTTTGAATTTCGGTCCTCCTTGTAAGACCTAAGCTAAATTTCCGTCATGCAAAACATGCTCAACCTACTTGTGAAAATAAAAAAGCTTTTTATTGACTTATTAACAATGTACAAGAGATGTTCCTTATATAGTCTTAGATAGGTATGCTATTGTTGGTAATCAATCCCAATACTGATAAGGCAAGTAAATATTCTATAATTACATGTGGAATAATCTTTAGAATATTTATGATTTCCTTATTCAAGTATAACGAATCTAGACTATTCATTTGGTATTCTAACATGCCCCCTCAAACTCAAAATGGGGAAACCAGCTTGAGTTTACTTATTTGGAAAATATAGGAAGTTGACCCTGGAATCTCGCTGGAATATTACACGATCATCAAAGGAAAAGCAGTACTGGAACTCTTTCCTTCGGAGAGTTGTGGGTAACTGCAAAGCTCAAAAGAAAGTGCTTCTTGCACTATGCACAGAGAGGAATCTTTTCTCAATCACCGAAAAGAGATTTGGGGTTGAAAATCTCCAAAAATATCAAAGTAAGTTGAATTAACAGGACAATGACAGGAAATTTGAATTTTAGACGAGGGTGTCGGTCGCCCCTTATTGGTTGTTGGAGATAGGAGCACCGGTTGCTAGAGAGAGGAGCGTCGTCAGGCACCAAAAGTAAAAATAAAAGAAGAAAACATTGGCTCAACGGGGGGCACACATTGGTCGGTAGGCCCACCAGTAGTGGAAGGCTGGAAGCTATTTGAGTCTCTACCAAGACCGTAAGCTCCGATACCATGTGAAAATAGAACAACTTTTCATTGACTCATTAACAATGTAAAAGATGTGCTCCTTATTAAGAGTCTTAGGCATGTATAACATGGCAGGTAATCAGTCCCTATACTAATAAGGTAAGTAATACATATTGAATATCCTAAAGTATCTTTTTGAGTATTCTATATTATTTCCTAAATGTAGACGTGCATGAATCTAGAAACAGATTCACTTGATATTCTGACACCACTCATCCTCCTTCTAGAGACCATAAAAAGCAGATAATGTTATTATGGTCAATGCAGGTTCACTATCATTGTAAGTAAAGGTTATACAAGCTGCAAAAGGATAATTAAGAATTTTTGTAATCATTCTCTAGCCTCTATTCTCTAGGTACAGCACCTAAATCTAATTAACACCTCACATTAAGAGCAGCATCCAGAACCCAGCACATAGAAAAAGAATCAGAAATCCATCCTATTGAGGAAGAAAAACAGGAATCAAATCATGGAGACAAGCCTCTATTTCATTGCTTCCAAAAAGTCTTTTGCTTGTACATTGTAATATATTCAGAAAAATAATTAAATTACTCAAGAAATGCCAGAATTGCAAGAGTAGAAAATTTGGCAGTCACTGCAATATGAGTTATAGAGGCCTTTACCATTCTCCGTTGGACAAGAAAGTTAGATCATCAGGGGCTACAAATGTAGTTGTTTCTCCAATAACTGTGAAAATTGAATTCATCCATAAATGAGTTAAAACCACTCCAGTAAATGCAGAGAAAATGATTTAGCAATCTCACTATGTTCACAGAAGTGAGAAATGCCACTTAATGCAAAGAACTTCACAAGCAGTAGCACTGTTGAATGAGTCACATAATTTTACGTTGTTATTAGAAAATAAGATCATTCTTGAATACCAAGAGAAATATTGGCAGTGGTGCACCATATTTTAGCAAAAAGACAAACAACCACCTCTAATAAATGAATTCAAATCATGGAAGTGCACATATCTTTCAAGTAAGACACCATACTTCACATAAACTGCCATTTCCCAACATGATAAAGTTGTATCCTATCTTTCCATTGAGTTTTTCTCTTTGGATGGAGGTGGGCTGATGGAAGACACAAGCAAGGTATATCATCAATAACCATCGAAGTCCAACTACTTCATTTGAGAGTTATGAAGACCAAGTAAATTAAAAGCTGTAGAGGATTTCTTATATCTTGTCTTTTCTCCATCCTTCACGTAATATCCGTGAAGATATGGCGCTTGGGCCTAACTCAAACCCAAAAGCTAGCTCATGAGGGGAGGATTGCCCAAGACCATAACCACAACGCATTCATTCAATCAATGTGGGACTTAACACTCCCCTACATGCTGAGGATTCAATTGGAGCGTGGATTGGGGACCAACATTATGAAACACAACAACAGGGATCAATGGGTCTGGCTTTGATACCATGATAACAAAATAGACCTTGGACCTAACTCAACCCCAAGCTAGCTCATGAGGTGAGGATTGCCCAAGATCATAATCACAACCCATTCCCTCAACCAATGTGGGACTTAAAGAAACTGCAAGCATTATCAAACAAAGGTGTAGCGCATTTAAAATGACACTTTCAGATACAGCCTTACATGTGTTATAAACTGCATATGAAGAGAGATCAAAGAAATTAAACTACGAGCCAAACAATTTGAAATGTCAATCCAAGTGCCAATACAGTACTTGATATAAAATATAATTAAGAGAAATCAGGGTTCAAAAAAAAACTACCAATGACCCAAGTGACGATAAAATCAAATCGATTTTGACCATCCCTCCAATAGTTCTCAAAACCGTAAGTGTACACTTTTAGTGCCATCTCAATAACATACAGCCAGCCTGTGCAACAAAGTAGAATACGTTAAAATCCCAAATATGCTCAACTCAAAGAGATAAGCATAGCACCAATAATCTTAAGATGAGGGTCTGTGAAGAACAATGCTCCTGTAAATTTTAAAATACTGTTTTGAAGTCAAAGGGGCACCATCAAAGTGATTGCAGAAGAAATCCAAATATTCTTATTAGTTACTCCAAGTGTACAAGATCATTAAGCATTAAATTGACTGTAGAGGACAACTGCCAAGTCTAAGGAGAAGAAGACAAAGTGTCTATTTCTTTAATACCAATACCTGTACCCTTTCCCTAATATCTTTATACCTTAAGAGAAATTTCATTTTGTCTTTCCAAGTTCTGAGCAGGCCCAGAACGGCATAACCATTACGGTGTACATGGTACACTGAGTTATAAGTAGGACCATTTGGTGGTCAAAAGAGCGTAAAACTTGCTTTCGGCTACATGAATCTAAAGAAGTTCAGATGCAACAAGAGACTGCCTATAGAAATGAATCACTGTTGCTTATCTGACTTGGTATTTTTGCAGTTGGGTTAAACGTTTTTCAGGCATCTAAAGTAAGACGAAAAAAAAGGGAACATCTTAAGGTACTTTCCTAAAATGCAGATAGACAGAAGACAAAACCTCCTTGACAGAGTCACCAATTTTTTTGGCAATAAAGACATCAATATAAATTTTTTATGAAATTTTCTAGAAACCTTTGCTGGGTATGATCATGGCAGGTGGACAATGAAACTTTTCCACAAATAAAGAAATGGGTCGGTGCTGCACTTTGCCATATTGCCAAACTTACTGGTGTCTTGTGCTTGTTTTTTAGGATTTCTTTGAAAATTGGTACTCCCTCCGTCTAAATATATGTGTCGTCCCCTTTTTCAAGTAATATAATGGGTATTTGAACAAAAATCTCAAGTATTGTAACGGGGATTTGAACCTGGGATCTCCAGGTTTTTCTCATACGTCTCAAATAGTTGGTGCTTCAAGTGTAAACACTCGGAGGAGGACGTGGATCATCTCTTATTACATTGCCAGGTACCGTCACGTCTGCGCTGGGAGCTCTTTAGATGGTTTGTACAATGGATCATGCTGGATACCGTGAAGGATGCTTTACTCAGTTGGGCCTTTAGAGGACGAAGAGAAGAGGCCAGGCATGGGATTTTGCTCCATTAGCACTTACGTAGATCTTATGGAGGGAAATAAATAGGAGAGTTTTTGAACGGAAAGAGGATGATTTTTTACAGCTGAGGGATAGCCTCCTACTTTAATGTCTTTTTGATGCAACCATGAGGTTCCTATTTGTATAGAAGATTAGGTGTGTCTAGTAGGGAACCATATCTTTCTGTAGATTCTCTACTTTTTGATATACCTCTTGTATACAAAAGCTTTCCCATTACCAAGAAAAGTATACTTAATCAAGAAAAAGGGGGTGGTGCAATTTTAAGGATCTAACGATTGAAGTCAAATCTCAAGAACTTAAAGAACTCCTCCAATTCAATAGAGAGAGCTGTTAGGGCAAGAAAAAGTTTTAGCATTTGAAATATCAAATAAAAATGCAAAATACAAACAGCACAATTCAGATGCCATATATTTATCTCTGCCTTGAACAATTAATCCTCTACTACGTATGGTCAATATATTTAATGTAAAAGGCAACAAGTTGTTACCACTGATATAAAACCATCTGGATAACTTTCTACCTATTGGGCTCAAACTATAACCAGAATCTCATGAATGAAAAAGCAAATATCTAATTTCCAGAAATATTGGTGCCAAGCCCTGAAATTCATTATGCGACTTACCAAAGGTGAACTCCACCTTCTGCCAAAAGGTTTGACCTGAGTTGTTTTGTATATCAAGCTAGAATACACCACCAGAAAAAGTAAATGAGATTCATACTGAACTTAGAAAAGATGTAAACAAAAACATTGAGAAAAGAACAGGATATTTCTTCAGTCGTTAGTCCTTGTCTCATGTATTATACATACAAGCATAAAATTCACCACCCAAACAAAAGCTTTCCTGATTGACATCCATGAAAAAACAAACTGAAACCGTCACAATATCATAGCATATGAGGATCTTGATTTTTTCTTTTTTGGGTGAGAATGTTGACCCTTTCAACAAAACTCAGGTGGTCAGTAAGGTGTGCCGGTCCTTTCAAACGTAAATGATTTGGAAGAGAAGGTTTCTCTGAGGTAATTAAACAGAAACTTTTATAATGGCACTGTGTTATTTTTATCAGACATAGAGGAGCAAGCCCACTTCCTTGATGTTGCATCCACACAGTATCGAAAGCACTAGACAGTAAGCAAAGCAGAAAGGAAAAGTTCCTCGGTTGTTCAGATTCAATGTTCAACTGCATGTTGGATGGAGTCAGGAGGTACTCATTCTTATAACAAGGGGAAGGATGCCACCAGGCAGAGCTACCCTTGTCCAAGGAGAGTCAATTGACACCCCTTCACCGGAAATTTACACTATGTAGATAGGTCAATTTTTTTTTTTTTATGTATGTTGAATCTCTGGGCTTCTTTGTGTGTTTACTTCTTTTTCTTTTGAATCCCCTTAATGAAAATCCTAGCTCCGCCACTGGACGCCACACTTAAGCTTGATTCAAGATCACAATTGTAACAATTATGGTAGTTGCTAGTTAAGACTAGCTTGGGGAATCAGTTGTTGGTAATCTAAGGATAATGCATATTCTCCACATCAACATTTAACAGATCAGATACCAAAAGGAGTTAATATCATTTCACACGTTCAAATAAGACAACCACTAATATAACTACATGCTGGGGCTACTTTTGCATAGAAATATTATTTATTTGCATCCAAAATCCAATTAGAGATCGTACAGAGTTTGATTCATACCGTAGTTTCAATAATAACAGCAACAAGATTGACAAGGAGAACGAACACTATTATGTACTCAAATGTAGCTCCGCGGATGAAGCCTCTCAACTTCTCTGATGCTGGTGAATGATAGAAATTTGGACATGCTTCAAAGATTGGCAGCTGCAATAGAAAACAGAACATGAAGGATTCTCTGATATCACCTTCAAACTGTAATCGAAAGGGCAAATGGACTCACCGAATCTTCCTTCTGAAATCTTAGTCCAATGGCAGAGCACAGATCAGCAAATTCCTCCAAATTTATCTGCATTTGACAGAGAGGAGTTTATGAGAAGTGTAAGAACAAAAATGAAGATGAAATTTTGGTGATTGAGAATACACTTCTTTTATGGAAAGGATCTGATCCTATAACTCAGACACCCATCTGGTTCCATGCATAAATATGAGAAACTTGAAGTTCTTAAACTTAAGAAGATCTAACAACTTGAAATGGTAAGGTACTAGACAGATGTGCTCATTGCTTAACATCAAGCTATGGTGCTAAGTCATTCAACTTCATCACCCATTCCAATAACATACCAAGTATTGATAGGATAAACCAAAAATTTCGCTTTGAGAAGTGAATGGAAAATACGAAATCAGTAGTTTAACCTATCACATAACTTTCATAATTTAAAGGCAAAACTCAAGTTTGAGATATGGAAGTTTGAGACTGAAAAAGCTAAATATCAACGACACAAGTTAAAAAAGAAAATCTGTTTTCCAAGTAACAATTGTTCCTAGAAATGTTTGGCAAGCCTAATAGTTTCTGTGTACTCCATTATAAACATAAAATCTGCTTGTGTGTGTTATTGGGTGGTCAAGATCATCAAGATAAACTGTAACAACGAAAACAAAGCTAAAGCATAACAGTAAGACGAGAGCTATAGTTGCTATCAGAATTGGCAACAATGAAAAGTTCCACCAACAAGGGTTGTGGTGGAGTGTAATTCATCCNTGAAACTTTCCGGCGCGAATCCGAATTTAGTCAGGCCCCAACGCGGGCATCGGACACTGTTGGGAAACCAAAAAAAAATGAGAAGTTCCGCTAGACCCTTTACAAATGTAATGAGGGCATCATCGTCACTATCCAAACTATATACACAGAGAAAAAGGTAGCCAACTCACAATATCAAAACATTTCAAACTTCTCAAAGAAAATAATTAAAATATAATAAACTGTTAAAGTCACTATTCAATTATGAGAACAATTCAAATGTGTACAAATCAAGAGAAACGGAGAGTAACAAGAACGAAAGTACCTCACTATATCAGAGAATTAAAAAAGATTCGTAAGTACCTTAAAGTCACCAGTATCATCCAGCTCATTGAATATTGACTTAAAATCATCTCCTGATATTTTCGGCAATGTCCTAAAGACATTTAAAGATTATGTGTATCAATGTCTACTGCGATGTGGAACCTTGACTGATATACGTGGAAAAAAAGTGCACGACATAAGGTATATTCATGTATCTAAAGAGAAGATAACATAAGTCAATTCAAATGCAGCAGTATCTAAAAGTAGGTACAAAAAGAATTTTAATTATATCATCCGCAAAGAAAACCAACAAGCAGGGTGAACCCTCTGAAATAGATCAGCTGTAAAATCCATGAATCGCATCTTTCGAATTTGGTTTCATCATCCAAAGATTTTTTTTTAAGTGTGAGAGTTGGGGTTTGATGAGATAATGTGTTGCTGGTCCTAGTCATTTTAGATGGAAATGGATTCCAATAACACATAGTGTCAGCGTTTTTTTACAGTTTTGTCTAAGACATGGTAAAACTAAGCCCTTCTTCTAACATTTTCATGAGGGCAAGATCTGAAGGGTTTCGAACTTCCCAACTCTAACACTGCTACAGATGATGGACTTCCCAACCCTCTTCTTCCTCCTAAGACTCCACCACCCCCAGTAAAGTCCGCCGGCATCTGACATCTCACGCGCCCTCACGCGCCGTCAATGCGCCGGATTTTCCGACGAGATCTAGCCACGCGCCGGCGCGTGTGGCATTTCCGGTGACTTTTTCAATTTTCTTTCTTCTGACAGCCTCTTCTCGAGGCTTTTCCGAGCCTTCCTGTCTCAGTTTCGCCAAAATCCGACGACTTTTTCTTTTTTCCGGCCATTAAACCCAGAATTCGGCATCTGTTTCCGTTGTTCAGTACCAGAAAAGCTCTTCCCTTCCTATGTTCTGTTTTCCACCCACTGTGACTATTGATTTTTCTAACCTTTGAGGTTTTTCCGGTCGTTTCTCACCTCTTTTTTGGGACAGCCGTATCTAGAATATGATGGATTATACAAAGAGAAACTCCTACTTCTCTCTAGAATCTAGAAAATTGAAAAACATGTCTTTCATCAAAGCTGTCTCTTGGCCAGTCCTAGAACTTGGGGGAAGATGCCACCGAAAGCTTGACGTAGGGCAAGAGCCACATTTCTCACTATCTGAGGAGCACACTCCCATGTGCTAGGGCTTCATGAGATCTTGTCTGATTGGGTCTCTCCAAATGGGTTGGTTTTCCAGAGGCTGTTAGGAACTGGGCAACAGGGGCATGGAACGTCAAGGACGGGCTGAAAATATCGCAACTGGGGGACACACAATATCTCTTTCGCTTTGTCGACGAGTCTCAAGCTACCGAAATTCTTGTAAGAGGAAATAGGTGGTTCGATGGGAACTTATTAAAGCTAGGCAGATGGGTGGAGCACGATGGGTGTCTAGACCCTCGTTTCACCGATGAATCATTGGTGGTCAACATGGTGGGTCTCCCGGTGCATCTTTGGTGTCTTGAATTATTCAAGAAGATTGGGGATATCTGTGGGGGGTTTATTGATGTCGCTTGCAGCTTACACAATCTCTTGCAAGTGAGGATTGAGGTGAGGAAAGGGGGCAAAATCCCTATCTCCACTGTGGTGGAAGATGGCTACTTGAGTTACAGGGTTTGGTTGAGTCCTGAATTTCGTCTTATCTTTATGCCTGAGATAGTAGCAGAAGAAAAGGGAAGGTCAAATAGAAGGGAGGGGTGGGGAAATAAGTCCCTGAGGAGAGGGGAGGGCTCACCGGATCGTGGACTAAGCCGGAGTCAGACGTTAGATCGAGAAGAGACGGGAGGTTTGATTTTGGGAGAAGAAGATAAAATTTCAACAGAAGGAAAAGACGTGAATGGGTTAGTGATGCGGGTTGGAAAGGCAGAATGGGCCGGTCCTCTTCTAATTATCCTAGGGCCAGGCAAGATTTCAGCAAGTATAGGCCTGGGCCTCCTCACATGGGCCCAGCAACTTTTCCCAATTCTATTAGAATTGATCCTAAGGGGCCCAGATTATTTCAAGTTGCATCTGATAAGGCTCCTAAGCATATGGGAACAGTCGTTCTTCCTTCTTTTGCCAATGGTGCTACACATAGTGGTATTTCTTCACCGAGCTCTAGTGACCTGCGCCCCTCTTCGATGGCCGCTGCTTTAGTGGCAGTACCTGCTATAGATGGTGCTGTTATTCCATGACCTCCCGCCTCTGATGGGCCCAACTCCATCGCTCCCTCAGCTGCTCCTGGGCTTAGTTGTATTGAGGCTACACTTCAAGCTTCTTTTTCTTCTGGGAAGATTGTTGAGCATGCACCAACTGATGTTAGTGCCGGACCAGTACTCCCTGTTAAGATGCCGCCAAGAGTTCTATGTTCTCCTCCTTCAGGCTACCATACTGGTGTTTCTGGTCATTCTTATAACAGCGGGGTGCTTATTTCAGAGGTTGATACCCCTCAAGGAAATGGTGAGATCCTTTCGGTACCTAAAGTTCCTATTGCTAGCAATGCTATGGTCTTGTATTCCTTCGGAAGGAGAAAGGAAAGGGTTCATATAGAAGGCGCCTGTCCAATTTCGTCACGGATGGGAGGAAGGGATATGTCTTTCTGGATGGAGGATAAACTACTAAACTTTGGGAAGTTTCTAGGTGTTTCTTTTGAAGGGAAGGAAGATAGGGTATTAGAATTGTTGAGGGAGATTGAGCAACAATCTTTTAATGATGGTGCAGGGAGGGAGTTGGGTCAAGGTGTTAAGCAAAATAATTTAGGGGATGTAGTGGTGTACCAGAGAAGGGGCCGGGTGTGTGACAGGGAGGAAGGGAGCTCGATTAGAGGGGGTGGGGAGAAGGGGGATATTGTTTCTTATGGAACTTAAGATTCTTTCATGGAATGTGAGGGGGATGAATGACCCAAACAAAAGGGCCATAATCGAAGTGGGAGTTAGAGAGTGGGGTGCTAACCTAGTTTGCTTTCAGGAGACAAAAATGGAAGTTTTGTCGGATGTGATTGCGAGGAGTGTCTGGGGAGGTAGTTGGGTAAAATATGACCGGGTTCTAGCAGCGGGAAGTGCCGAGGGCATTCTTCTAATGTGGGATGATAGAAGCTTGGAGGTAAAGGAAATTAAGAAGAGAGTTTTTCTTTAGCAGCTCTTGTCAAAGATAGAGTGAGTGGGGTGGAGTGGGGATTTGGGGGAGTGTATGAACCGGTAGGAGAAGGGTCCAAGGTATTCTTCTGGGAGTAACTGGCCAATATGATGGGGGAATGGGACATTCCATGGGTTCTAGGGGGAGACTTTAACACTATTAGATTCCCGGAGGAGAGATTAGGGTGTAGTCTGATTTCGAGGGCCATGGAAGAGTTTTCTGACTTCATCAGTGATCACTTTCTCATTGATCTCCCTCTGTCAGGGGAAAGGTTTACTTGGGCCAGGGCGGAGGATTCCAACTCAAGGTCTAGACTTGATAGATTTCTGATATCGCCCTCCTGAGATGAGCTGGTGCCGAATGTGCTGCAGATTCCTTTACCTAGGCTGACTTCAGATCATTTGCCTATCTTGCTAGATGGATGCAGAGGGAGGGGGTTGCGAGCTCCCTTCCGATTCGAGAACATGTGGTTGAAGGTGCCAGGATTTTGTGACAAGGTGAAAGAATGGTGGACAAGCTACGGGGTATCAAGGACACCTTCATTCCGTCTTTCGAAGAAACTTAAATTGCTCAAGGGAGATATTATTAGGTGGAATAAGGGGGTTTTTGGGAGGGTAGAGGTTAAAATGAGGGAGCTTATGCATGAATTGGGGGAACTAGTGAGAGGGCAAAGGGCGAGCGAGTTAGATGGATTTGAGAAAGAGAGATTAGGGAGGTTAAGAGGGAAATAGTCAAGTTAGCAATAGCTGAGGAGACTAGTTTACAGCAAAAATTGAGGGCACTATGGTTAAAGGAGGGGGATTCGAATACCAAATTTTTCCGTAGGGTGCNAAGTGGGAGTTAGAGAGTGGGGTGCTAACCTAGTTTGCTTTCAGGAGACAAAAATGGAAGTTTTGTCGGATGTGATTGCGAGGAGTGTCTGGGGAGGTAGTTGGGTAAAATATGACCGGGTTCTAGCAGCGGGAAGTGCCGAGGGCATTCTTCTAATGTGGGATGATAGAAGCTTGGAGGTAAAGGAAATTAAGAAGAGAGNCGGAGGAGAGATTAGGGTGTAGTCTGATTTCGAGGGCCATGGAAGAGTTTTCTGACTTCATCAGTGATCACTTTCTCATTGATCTCCCTCTGTCAGGGGAAAGGTTTACTTGGGCCAGGGCGGAGGATTCCAACTCAAGGTCTAGACTTGATAGATTTCTGATATCGCCCTCCTGAGATGAGCTGGTGCCGAATGTGCTGCAGATTCCTTTACCTAGGCTGACTTCAGATCATTTGCCTATCTTGCTAGATGGATGCAGAGGGAGGGGGTTGCGAGCTCCCTTCCGATTCGAGAACATGTGGTTGAAGGTGCCAGGATTTTGTGACAAGGTGAAAGAATGGTGGACAAGCTACGGGGTATCAAGGACACCTTCATTCCGTCTTTCGAAGAAACTTAAATTGCTCAAGGGAGATATTATTAGGTGGAATAAGGGGGTTTTTGGGAGGGTAGAGGTTAAAATGAGGGAGCTTATGCATGAATTGGGGGAACTAGTGAGAGGGCAAAGGGCGAGCGAGTTAGATGGATTTGAGAAAGAGAGATTAGGGAGGTTAAGAGGGAAATAGTCAAGTTAGCAATAGCTGAGGAGACTAGTTTACAGCAAAAATTGAGGGCACTATGGTTAAAGGAGGGGGATTCGAATACCAAATTTTTCCGTAGGGTGCCGGTTGCAAATCGAAGGAGAAACTTCATAGAGTCCTTAGTTGTGGATGGGGTGAGGATTGAGGGAGATAAGGAGGTAAAAGGGGCGATAGTGGGGTTTTATGAGAACTTATACAAAGAGGAAGTTAGTTGGAGGCCGACTTTGGGTGGAATAGAGTTCAACCACATAGGGGAGGGAGACAGTGAGTGGCTAGAAAGGGCTTTCGAGGAGGAGGAGGTGCACGAGGCTGTGTCGAGTTGTGCTGGTGACAAGGCCCCCGGCCTTGATGGTTTCTCCTTGGCCTTCTTCCAACTCTGTTGGGACACCATCAAGGGGGAGTTGATGGAAACCATTGAATACTTCTATGTAAATGGTGTTCGAGAGAAGTATCAATGCTACTTTTATTGTTATTGTACCTAAGAAAGAAAGTGCATCTTGTATCAGAGACTACAGGCCTATTATTCTCGTGGGAAGCATTTACAAGATTATTTCTAAAGTGCTTTCCAACAGACGCAAGAAGGTTTTTGACGTGTCCATTTCGTCCTCCCAGAATGCGTTTGTGGAAGGTAGGCAAATCCTGGATGCCGCTTTGGTGGCAAATGAACTTGTAGACTCCAGAAGGAAAAATAGAGATCCCGACTTACTATGCAAGTTGGACCTTGAGAAGGCTTTCGACCATGTCAATTGGGAGTTCCTGGATTTCATTATGATGCGGATGGGGTTTGGGGCAAGATGGGGGGATGGATCAAGTTTTGCATTTCCTCAGTCAGATTCTCTGTCCTGGTTAATGGTAGCCCGTGTGGTTTCTTTGGCAGCTCCAGGGGTCTCAGGCAAGGAGACCCCCTATCCCCATGCTATTCATTCTAGTGATGGATGCTCCGAGTAAAATGATGGATCGTGCGGCGGCCGGAGGCTTCTTGAGAGGATTCTCAGCTCCGATCGGGGTGCCCAGTGCCCGAAGAGTCTCTCATTTGCTTTTTGCGAATGACACCCTGGTTTTCTGTGATGCCGATATGGATCAGTTGAGCTACCTGAAGTAGGTCCTGCAGTGGTTTTAGATAGTATCAGGTCTCAAAATCAACCTCGCAAGTGTGAGATTTTCCCGGTGGGTGAGATTGCTAACATTGATGCTTTGTCTTATGTTCTTAGATGTAAGGTGGGCTCCCTTCCCACTACTTACCTGGGTCTCCCATTGGGCGCTTCGCATAAGGATACTATGGTTTGGAATCCAGTGATCGAAAGGGTTGAAAAACGATTAGCAGGCTGGCAGAAACGGTACATGTCAAAAGGCGGAAAGGAAGTGCTTATCAAAAGCACTTTATCGAGTATGTCCACCTATTACGTGTCCTTGTTGCAAGCTCCTGTGAGCATCACAGAAAAATTGGATCGGCTTCAAAGGAATTTTCGTTGGGATGCGGCAGATGGAACTAAAAAGTATCATCTAGTGAATTGGCAGACAGTCACTTCCCCAAAGAAGTGGGGTGGACTTGGAGTAAAAGATCTTAGGGTATTCAACAGAGCTTTGTTGGAAAAATGACGGTGGAGATTCGGGGTAGAAGAGTATGCTCTATAGAGGGAGGTCATAGTAGAAAAGTACGATTCCACGGGAGGGGGTTAGAGGACCAAGGCAATCACAACACCTTTCGGGTGTGGCATGTGGAGGAGTATCATGAAGAATTGGGATTCTTCAGTGGTAACATCACTTACAGGATGGGAGATGGAAGGAGAATCAGCTTTTGGAATCATAGGTGGTGTGGAGAGGAAACTCTAAGGGTCTCCTTCCCCTACGTCTTCAGAGTTTCAAACCAGAAGGAATTGATGGTCCAACAGATTCGTAAGGAGCATGAAGGGGGGTAGTATGGGACCTCTCATTTAGAAGGAACATGCAAGATTGGGAGATTGCGGAGCTCCAAGATTTATTGAGACTGCTATATGGGCAAGACAGCCCCAGCCATCTTGTGATTCTTGGAGATGGGGTTTGCGTGGCAATGATTTGTTCACCGTAAAGTCCTTTTACCAGAGTATGTTGGTGAGAGAGGAGACCTCTTTTCCATACTTCTCGATCTGGATTCCTAAGGCGCCCACGAAGGTGTGCTTTTTTGCATGGCTAGCGGCGAGGGGAGTAATTTTGACTGCTGAGAATCTGCGAAAGAGAGGAATTACACTTGTTAGTTGGTGCTATATGTGTAAAAGCTCAGGGGAAGAAGTTGATCATCTTTTGTTGCATTGCCTTGTGTCCTCGACTTTGTGGAGGGCGATTCTGAACCTTTTTGGTGTTCAATGGGTGATGTCAAGCACCGTAAAGGAAATGTTATATAGTTGGGCAGGTTTCTGTCGAAGAAGAAAGCAAAAGGCGTGGAAGTTTGCCCCATTAGCTCTCATGTGGATAGTTTGGGGGGAGAGAAATAGGAGAGCTTTTGAGGGGATTGAGTCTACTTTTTCACATCTTAAGAATAGTCTTTTATCTTTGATCGCTTTTTGGTGCACTCATATAGCCCCTACTTGTATAGAAGATTGGGCGTCTTTTGTAAAGAATCATGTTCTGATGTAAATTCTCTACTTTTTGGTATACTTCCTGTATACGGGAGTTCTCTCCCTTTTGATTAATACAATTTACCTTATAAAAAAAAAAAAAACAACTATTAGTATAAAAAAAGAAAGAGTGTAGAGGGTAGATTTCCTTCGCATGACAGGGGTAAGGTTGCGTACACACTACCCTCCCCATACCCCACTTGTGGGATTACACTAGGTGGTTGTTGTTGTAGAGGGTAGATTTGTTCCTGAGTATCAAATCACTAATCACGACGTCGAATGCTATGCTTATTTTTTAACTGAACCCATTTTGGTTTTGTGTTTCCCGTACATGGATCTGTTTAATAGTACGCTTAGTAATAGCAGATACATTATCAAACTCCTTAAAGACACTAGTTAAACTTATATCATAGGTGCTCCCAGATTGTCATGAAACTATTTTAATAATCTAAGGTGCTGCTGTCAAAGTGACTTCAAGTTAAAGCGAAGTTTGCTAAACTTCCAAAATGATCGTCAAGTCCACAGCTGATTGTCAAATTACAATGACCAGAGAGCAGCTTAGTCAAAAGGTATGAAATGAATTTTATCTAGAAGAGACTAGTAGCTAATCAACTGTCCTCTTCCTTCTCAGTCTGCTAGCTCATAACCAGGATCAGCTTTCACAATTCAGATCCGGCATTGCTGTTTCACTAGTGTCCCCTTGGCTAGTAATACAGGAATGAGATGCATCATGAGTCCAGGGGTATCTGACTACAAAATATGAACTAGCAGTATCACAAGCTAAATCCTGCGAAGCAAACTGACACATATAGTTGCATGTACTAGCACATGAACAACCAGCCAGGCGAACCATCAAATACAAGTTTTGAGAAATGCCTCTAATTTGTTATTGCACTCCTAAAGTATATTAGTATCAAAATTTAAATATTCCTTTCTCTCAGATAAATGGAAGACATTCTTTCTTTTTATGAAAACTAAAGGTAAAGGTATCTTTTTTTTTCCTGTTCAATTGACCTCTCAACAACAAATGGAAGAAGGTTCAATCACGTAACCACTACTTAGAAGCGAGAAAATCTTCATAAGGTCATAGGTGGATTTTGAAAATCCAATTAGTGGGCCCATGAATGATTTAGATAGTTTTATGATGAATGGGCCCACTAAGCATGATGTCTCCCAGAATGCAGCTATTACAGTGTGTGCAGCCTGGACGATATCCTAAATAAGCGGCTATCAATTGAAGATTGGTGCATAATGGCCGTGGCAACATCAGATTGTTCTCATGCCAGTACTGGAAATGCCGTGTACCAAAACACAGATTCACTACATTGTTTGCTAGAAAGCTTTACATCCAACATGTTGATTTGGATTTAGTCACACGGCTCCAGTTCAAGTTGCAACTGTTAGGTCAATTTCAGTTTCAAGGAATGGCTGTATGAGCCACACTACAAAAAGAAAATAATTAATGAGAAGAACTAGCGGATAGCAGCAGAACTCTACATGTCTGAAATGCATTGGAAGATGCGGAGAATGAACATTACCTATATTTATTAAGTTCCTCAAACAGCAGGGTACATTGCTTCTCGTTGAGGAGCCCATTGTTCTGCCAATGTTAAAAGGACACAACTTTAAAAGGAATGGCAACCACAAGATTTAAGGACACAAAAAACCCTTCTAGATAGTAAGGTAGGGAGAATAAGTTCATAAATCGAAAATATTTACCTATTAAATTCTTGAATACAACAGAAATCTGTGAAATTACTTTTTCCTTTTCCATTATCTTCTTTCTACCTTCACCCTCGGTGTCTCTCTCTCTCCCTCTCTCTCCCTCTCTCTCCCTCCCTCTCTCCCTCCCTCTCCCTCTCTCTCTCTCTATCTCTCTCTTACATACAGCTATTCATGTCAAACGGGCCGGACCAATTTCAGGCTAGTTCATAACCGGACCGAACTCACTTTTTGGGTTAAATGTATTTAACGAATTATTAATAGTAAATCATAATTTAAACAATTAATGCAGATACAAAATTTGAAGAAACGGAAGACCTCAAATTTCATTAAATATGAAAAGGTTGAAGCTTATAATTACATGAAAGTTGATACTTAAAATTTGAATTTCATAACACAAACTACTAAAATTTGAAAATCACAACTCTTTCTTACCAGGCCAGGCTAACTCATATATTTGTCACTGGTACCATGCTGGTTAACTTAAAAGAGAGGCCCCGATTGGGCCCCTTTAAAAAGACAAATCTGACCAGGCCCTTTATGTATGGGGCCAGACCGGTTACGGGCCGAGCTGCCCACTTGACATGAATAATACAGATACATACACACACACACACATAAACCTGTTTGTAATCATTCAGGTAAGGGGAGCAAGGAGGAAGCGTCTTCAAACTCTATTATGTCTTTTAAACACCTATGCATTTGATCTACCTGTTTCTGCGTCTGAGAATACCAGAAGGTGTTTGTCCTATAGAGTCATCGGAACTGTATCAACTGCCTCTTCAGTTCTCAGTATAATCTATCTTCTAATATTGTAAATTTTCCCATCACATTAATGGAATTATTACTTTATCAAAAAATATATAAACCCTCTTCTTATTGGAGCTAGATTATATTTGCCTCTAAATTTATTGTGTCAACAGAAAGGCAGGCAACTACATACAATGTACAGGATGCCTACATAAGATTTGTGAGGGAAAAGATTCTTATTAACAGCTATTACTGCCGTATCTCTTCTGAAAAAGGAAAGAACAAGGATAGAAACTTCTCTTCCACAGGTAAAAGGAAGGAAGAGAAGCATATTAAATGCATGTAAACCACAGAAGATTAATTGGAGAACCAGTTGGGACGTGTCCTACTCACGGCTTCATCAATCAAGCTAAATGCTTTCTTCAAAGTCCTTAGCCTCAAACGATCTTTATCAGCCACTTGTTTTACAAGCTACAACCAAAAGAGAATAAATAAATAAATTTATACGTGCAAGGTGCAAAATCTACAGGAAAGGTACTTGCTATGGCAAACACTAACATGGTGGCAATTATTTCCAATAGAAGCAAAAACGTTGGAAGACATTACCTCACTTTTGAAGCTATCATATACAACAGCAAGAATTAAGTTGGTAACAAAGTAAACGCCCAATAGCACGTACAGAACAAAAAACAAGCAATACCAACGTGAGTCCCTGAAAGGAAAAATACATAATACAGGTTTCAACTCCAAAGTTTACATGGAATTTTTTTTTTAACTCAAATGTTAAGTTTAATAAGAGAAAACACTCGGTAAGAAAGCTTAATGATGAGAGCAAGATGTACTTTGCTCAGGTTTTGCTCTTGGTATGAAGGTGGGAGACACTATCTTTAATAGTAACCAAAACATAACCAAAACTCAGAGCTTTTAATGGCAAAAACTATCTTAAACATTCCAGATTTAGGCAAAAATCAACAGTATTATAGAGAGTAAAAGGGGGACTAAAGACAATTTTCTGAGGCACTCACTTGTACGCAGGAATCCAGACATCTGGATTGTTTGATGTTGTGAATAAAACAAACATTTGGTACAACGTGGTGCCATACGAAGTAAACGTGGTCTTCCCCTGCCGTGTGTCTTCAAAGAAGACGTACGCTAACCAGCTCGAGAACAGAAGAAATAAAGCAGATAGAGCCTGCAGAGGGGAGGAAAGAGAACATAGATCAAATAGGGAAGGGCTTAGGTTAATGATAAGTTGGAGAAAGGACGCAAGATCATAAAACTCAGGTGTGAAATTTTTTGGTTTATCATATCATCTAGCATTAAGTGTCTGTTAAAAACTATATTATGAAAATAACCATTAACCCTCAAAGATAAGGATAACTAACCACAACATTAAGGTAGGTACCAAGCATTCCTGCAAGGATGAAGAAGCTATCTCGTAATTCCCTATTGTCAAAAGTATGAAATTAAGATCATATTAACAAAAATAGCTAAGAAACCAAGTAAATCAAGAAAAATAAAAGGCAGTATGTGGACCCAACATGCCATCTCTCTGAACCTTTGGAATGAAGAAAAAAAGAAGGAACCTCTAGTGGATTATGCTGCTTAGGCCTCATTTGTTTACACTGCAAGAAAAATAGAAGTGCATTTTTTTTTCTTTCATTGCTTCTTAACTCTTAATAGGACTGAATCACTCTGATCTTGTACAGAGTCTTAACATTAAGATGTTCACTTAAAGATTCGTATGAATGTAATCACTACTCTATTTATTACCACTGCCAACTACCGCCGCTGCTGCCTGCCACTACCACCACCAACCACCACAGCTGTCAGCCAGCCACAGCCTGCCATCACCACCAGGCACCAACCATCTCTACTACCAGCCTCCACCACACAATCACCACCACTAACCACCTCTACCACCAACCACCGCCACCAGTAGCTGCCACCACCAATCAGCTCCACAACTAGACTCCACCGCACAATCATCATCGTCAACCACCACCACCACCACTAGTCAAAACGACCAACCACGTGCACTGCCAACTACCAGACAAATGCAGCACCAGCTGCAGGGATCCATAGGAAAATTCATGTTCTTACCGTAATGTCATGTTCTATAATTTACATCAATTCAAAGGGGGTGGTCTTTCCTGTACAATCAATGTCCTTGACTTCACATGCACTAATAACATGATACTGATAAACAGTGGAAAACACTATAGAGATGCATCAGCATGAATAAGTCCATATGAACCTTCATTTTTTTTAAATGAATATATTTTTAACTAAAACATACTCTTTATATGAGATGTGCATTCACATTATCAGAAGAAAAGTTGTGATTAACCTAACTTATGCGGAAAATCGAATTTTATACATCAGGCATACTGCTTGTCCAAGACATACTTTACACATTTGAAGCTCATACAACAAGTCGAAGATCGCAACATGACCACAAAGAGAGAGAGAGAGAGAGAGAGAGAGAGAGAGAGAGAGAGAGAGAGAGAGAGAGAGGAGGGGAGAGAGAGCACAGTACATAAATTCATATCTGAACACTTCCATCCATTTCAAAAGTTGATAAAAGCTGGCCATTTTACAGAATCGCAGAATCTGGCCCACCTTCTTTCCTTGGTGGAGTGGGGGAGGGCGCGAAAGCATTAGGGCCAGTGAAAGAACATAACCATGAAGCCTTAATTGATTAACAGCAGTAGAACATAATGCTATTTGCTTAATATTTGGGGAGACAACTGTGGAAACTCACTTCTTTAAATTCCTTCGCATATAATACTTAAGTTACGAATTGTGTATAAAAATTATTTTCTCAGTAATGATTATATGTACAACTAAATGATAAAAGACAACTAGAAAAGGAAAATGAGAGACCACTTGGAGCGAGAAGTCTTGGTAAAGAAATTTAAAACATAAACATAAATAACGAGGTTCTGACTAGAACTGGAAATTAAATGAGTAGCGATCCTACAATGGCGTACCTAATGTTCAAAATAAAGAACACCACGCGAAGATAGGGTGCAATACGGAATGGTAGATAATAGAAGTCTGCTAGAAAGAGAATGTAGACCACAATATCTGCAACCAAGATTAACAGCAAAATGACCTGAAAAATCAAGCCAAACAAGAAAGAAAATTGTCATTAACTAAAATTAACTATCAGTAGTGTTAAGCAACCAAAGATTTATCAATACCAGTGAACCTTCCAATATTTTTTTCCTCAAAAATCGTTATTAAAGATCTAAATCTGCTGGTTAGATTTGAACATAAAACAGATTAAGCAGAACCACAAGAGTGGCTTCTACACAAACTTTGTGGGTTTATTAAAGAGAGAATTTTTTGTTGAAATTTACCCTCTATTTGGAAAGGAATTGAACGGAAAGTACAGAGAGGACAAATAGAAAGTGATTCTGTTTCTTAAAATATTCTCTATATATATATATACACAAAAAAAATTATTGCTTATGCTCTAAATTCTCTCTACATTTTCTTCCCTCCCAACATTAGAGAGAAAAGGAGCCCAAAAATAAAACTATTTTCCTTCGTCCACTTTGTTTTTGTCAAACCAAAATCAGGAAATGGGCAATTCCACCATTTCTCTTCCTTTCTATTCCTTTCCTTAGTTACAAAACAAATTGATTACTATTAGTAATGGCTCTCTAAGGATGTGCTTTCCAAAGCAAAAATTAAAGCTATAGAAATGCCTTACAAAAGATGAACTGGAGGAGGAAATTTAAGAGCAGCACAACATAAGAACCACCTCGACCAGAAATGGTAGCTTTGATATGGTTCCACTTCCATAAAGGAGTACAGAGGTCAAGTTAGTTGATATCTCTAATACCTCATCGCTCTGTCATGTTACACCATGTGGGAAAACACCACAGAAGAACGTGCAACGGAGGCAATGCATGAGTAGTCATGCTAAGGTGGAATATAACCATCATCATTCAGACACCTATGCATCTAAAATCTCTTAGCAAAGATCCATAGTCACAGTCAAGAAAAATTCCCACACCAATTTGGTTTGTTATCTATCGCTAATCTTTTGGCAGATTTCCAACAATATAAAGAGCCACGATCTCAAATCCATTCTATGTTTCTTCATCAAACTGCAATCTGCACATGGTTGATTAGTCAGATGCATCTTCTTATTCTCTTTCCTCTCTCTTTCAGTGAGGAGAGAGTGTCCCTGTTTTTTCCACTGTAATATAATTTTTTTTTCTTTTTCAATTAGTAATATTCTCCATATCCCCCCCCCCCCCCCCCCCTCCAAGAATATTTAGTGCTAATTGAGTAATTTTTTCTGGTGTTTGATCTTGAACATAGAATTTGAGGAAAATGTGGAGGGAGAGGAAGAGGAAGAGACTAACTGCAGGATCAATTTGATGCCTTTTCTCATGATTCATTGGAAGTCATTATTTCTGTATCTAGGGAAGGTTCAAAGTCACTCTCGTTTTTGCTTCGACGTGTTCTTTCAGTCATCCATTGCCAACTTTTGTAAGAAATTTTAAGAAATTGAGTTTCCTGCTAAGCATGATGCATCTTACCATGTTTTGTTATTGCAGAAATGTGACATATCACAACCAAGATATTTCACCTTCTACTTTTAGGGAGAAGAGTGACAAGAACATCAATGCAAAAGAACTAACTTCAGACTATAAAGTATTTACTTCAGACTATCTTCACAAACAACCTATCCTTTACAAGGAGGAATCGAAATGTATGAGATCGTTTTTAAAAAGATCACCATTCTTAAGGAGAAAACATAAAGTACTGGTACCAAATACCTTCAGTCTGTTGAGAAGACTTCTCCAGTAGAGATTGAAGCCTTCATATGATATTGGAAATAAAATGTGTATTATAAGAAGCAGAAGAGTGACACCCTGCAGAAGACAGTTAAATAGAAAATGTTAGTGAGGCCAGAAGAATAAGGTAGCCTACCCAGCTTTTATGTTTTGCATTTCACAAGAGTCTCCTACAGCCTAATAAATGACCAGAGAAGTTCCTTTTCTGAAGATACCTAGCTAACTACATATAAGTGATAGTAATGTTTATGCATCCAGAGTAGGCCCCTATTATTCGATATTGGACCAAAGAATGTTCCTCTTTTAAAGCTACCTAGCAAACCTAGTAAAAAATAAGAAGAAAAAATGAAATAGAAATTCTCACAAACAAAGTGAGAACTGTCCTTATTTCTTGTGTAATAATAATGCAGCCATGGCTTTAAGAATGAAAAGGAAGTCCAAGTTTTCCTTATTCAAGCTTCCTATACAACAAAAACAACTATGCTTCAATTCCAAGAAAGTTGGGGTCGGCTTTATGAATTCTCACTATCCATATCGCACCATTTAAGCCCGTTTTATAATAGCAATAACAATAACAATGGCAATTAACAACAATAAGATTCTTTGGTACTAGAAGTTCTCTACATACTGACCAAAACTAAAGGACTCATAGCAAACACTGGACCTAGAGTAAACGTCCTAACATGACTAAAACTAACCCCAACTAACTGATAGTGCATGTATTGATCTTTTGTCTTCCATTGTCTCCAGCTTTTCACTAGGTCTGCATGAATTCCAAGAGATCTTAGGTCTTTCGAGACAATTTTCTCCCGTGTGATTTTAGGTTTACCACATCTCCTTCTAACAGCTTCATTCACTAAATGGTTACACACCTACATACCAATTCATCTGGAGGTCGACGTAGGACATGTTCAAGCTATCTCAAGCAACTTCTTTTGATTTATCTTTATGTATGCTGCTAGCACCTTTTGCCGAATATGATCATTTTTAATCTTGTCTAATCTTGCATGATCACCTTCTTCATCAATAAGACTTCATTAACGTATGACTACATATTCATCGTAGCAACTACATATCTGTGACATTCATCTTGTGAATATGATGGACTTTAGACGACCAACATTCACGGCCATAAAACATTGTTGGTCTTATAACCATTCTACAGACTTGCCTTTTATTTTGGTAGGTTCCTTCTATCACATAACACTCTGCTAACACATTTTTATTTCAACTATCCTATTTTGATTCTGTGTAACATATTTATCTACCATTCTCATAGAATATCGAGCGTAGATATCTGAATTGTTTGCACTTAAGCATCGAAATCCCGACTAATCTCATCTAAGCTCCATACTTCTTATGAAGGCCAAACTTGCAGTGCATAAATTCAGTCATACTTCTACTTATTCTGAAATCCTTACTCTCTAAAGTATTTCTCCATAGTTCAAGCGTTTGGTTGAGACCATCTTTAATTTCGCCAATTAGCAGAATACAAGAATAACAACAACAACAACAACAACAACATATCCAGTATTATCCCACACTGTAGGGTCTGGGGAGGGTAGTGTGTACGCAGACCTTACCCCTACCTTGTGAGGCTAGAGAGGTTGTTTCCAATAGACCCTCGGCAGGAAAGCATAAGCACCACATTAATGAAAATATAGACAAGAAGGGACAGTACCAAAAAGCCATATAAAAGCATAATAGAGACAACAAGATAGTTAGGTGATCAACAATGAAAGAAAACGACGGTTAGTCCTAAAAACCTACTACCAACAGAAAGCGAGACTGCATGCCAATACTACTGTTATGAACACCCTAGACTACCTACTCTAATCCTCGACCTCCATACCTTCCTATCAAGGGTCATGTCCTCGGTCAACTGAAGCTGCGGCATATCTTGCCAATTAGCAGAATACCATCTGCAAATAGTATATATCATGGAACCTCATCCAACATAGTGTGTGTTAGTTCATCCAAAATTATGATAGTACGGGCTCAGTGCCGATCTTCAATTCTTTTGTATCTTCTAATACTATTCTGTATCTTCATACTAGTGTCGGCTCCTTCATGCATATCCTTTATGGCATCTTATATGTTTAATATGAATTTCCTTTTTCCCTAACATCCACCAAAGGACTTTATGGCAATCATATGCTTTCACTAGGTCAATGAACACTATGTTAGATTATTATTCTTCTCGCGATAAACTTACATTAATCTTCTTAGAAAAAATATAGCCTCCATTGTAGATCTACCAGGCATAAATCCAAACTAATTCTCTTTCACTCTTGTAATATCCCTACACTCTTTCTCTCTTTCCTAAAGTTTCATTGTGTGGCTCATAAGTTCAATGCTACAATAGTTCACACAACCTTCAGTATCTCTTCCAGGATACTCTTTGTCCACTAGTCAGGTATCCTACCATTTCTTAGTATAGCATTAAACAGCTTTCCCAGTCAAACTACTCCAATCTCCCCAAGATAATTCCACACCTCTATAGGGATACTATCTGGACCAGACGGCTTTCTAATCCTCATATTTTTCATGGCACCCTTTAGTTCTGCCAGTCTAATTCTAGGAGTGTAGCTAGAATTTCTACCATGCAAAGTTGTGTAGATCTATAAAGTTATCCTCGTGATTCGACTTGAACAATTGATCAGACTAGCCTCCCCCTCTCTCCTTGATCTCATAAAATTTCCTGTCAACACTTGTTGAGAATTCGATGAACCGTCTTCAATGCGCTTCATCTAGCTTCCTATAGAAAGTCAATTTAAGTTTCCATGCAGAAGCACATGCATCAGTCCTGAACACTAGGAGACAACAATCTCCTAAGGCTCTTGAAATAACCAAACTTGAAGATAGACCAAAACCAATAAAATTCACAGTAAATTAGGCAAAATTCAGAACCATCGACGGTTCTGCTTAAAAATTAGCTTCTTCACATATTAAAGACTCAGAAATTTAACAAACAAAACCAGCCATGCCACAAGCTTACCTCAAATATAAGGGACTCGGCACCAGTCAAAAATGGCAGCTCTCCTAGATAGTAGTAGTCTCTGTTATTGCAAGACTCAGCTAAATGCTTGGAACACCACAATGGTTTCTGAGCAAAATGAACAGGAAATCAATGAAACTAAAATTGCGAGTCCTAAATTCAAAGAACAAGTAGGAATTATGAAGTCAACTTAACATGCAGAAAAAATAAAAAGGACTGAAGCTGGAATAGACAGCAAGGGAACTGTGCAAACCTCAAAAAAGTTTAGAACGACTAGTGCAAGATAATTAAGTGACCAGAGGAAGTCAAAACGAGTAAACATGAAGTACAACTCTGCTGCTTTTTCAAAGCTCGCCCCCTCAAGAATTTCCTCAGGTAGACCAATGCCGTCTTCAGCCTGCAGGTATTACTTCCAAAATTAATATCTCACCAAACCACTACTAAAGGAAAACTGTGAAATTTATCAGTCAAATAACTATATCACCACTTTCACAAAAATTAATAAATAAATAAATATTTCATCATTTCACATCAAAAACCATTATTCTCAATGTTTATCTACTAAGTAACTCAATATGGCAATATATTAAAACATTTTATTGCTAATAACCGTTCAGGTCAATCGAGACCTATTCTGTAGACAAGGGCATATCTGTTTGGACGCAAAACATCTAGGACATTCAGCTAGCATCTTTCAGTACAAAGGTTTTCTCAAAGGGTCTGCTTTAAGTTCTTTCCGAAAAGGAATAAAAAAAGATTGTGTATTAAAAGAAAGGCAAAAAAGAAATACAGTACAAGAAGAGTTGTTTCCTTTGGAAAAATCAGAAGTTCTCAATAAAACCTGCCTCAATTTTGTAGGTTGGACGTGGAATTTTGACCAGAAACGACCTTCATTTTCACACGAATGGAGCCAAAAAGAAGTTCAGCCTGAAAACATTTGGAAGGGGCACCAGCCTAGTGGTCAATGAAGTGGGTTGAGAACCATCAGGTCTCATGTTCAAATTCCAGCTGAGGAAAAAACACTAGGTAATTTCTTTTCATTTGTCCAAGCCTTGGTGAACAGAGTTAGCCCATACTTGTAGTGGTGGGAGGTAGCAAGTACCCGTGGAATTAGTCGAGATGCACGCAAGCAGGCCCAAACATCAATCAGAAAAACATTTGGAAGGAACAAACTTTTGTGGCAAAGTCACTAAGTTCCTCAATGTTTTCTCTTTTCCTTGTTGTCTCACACTGTATATGACACGAAATATAGAGCCTTTAATATTTCCTGAATTCCAATTAATTTCCTTGTCATTGCAGCACCAATTAGTGTGCCTCGTCTCAGATCAGATCAGATTTACTGAAAATTCGCATTTTTCTGGCATGATGGTGTCAATATTTTCTTGAAGCGGATTACCAGACATGACCCCCATTTTACCACTCTAAGTATCTGATTTCAAACTTGGAACTTTCAACAACCCAAATACCAGGGGTGGATGTAGCCTTGCGGCGCCTAGTTCATCTGAACCCATTACTTTTGACACGGAGCATAAATTTATACACAATAATGACTAAAAATGCAACAAATAGTTGACATGAACCCATAATTTAAAAATACTATGGGTTCAATGCTAAAAACCTTAAACATAGAACTCCTACAATTATATTCTGGATCTGCCTCTGCCAAAACCACAGTACCCAAATTACTACTCCACTATCTTTTTGGCAGCTTACCTATTAAATCTCTACTTCATGGGAAGCATTATTAAAAAAGAAAGGGATAATTCAGTTCAAAAGTGAAACTCAATAAAGAGTAAGCGTCGAAGTGAGGCTAATTACAGAATAAAGCAGCAAAAAAAAAGGGTGGGGGGGACGTACAAGATCAACCAAAGCAGCAGCCTTTTGATAAGCTGATCCATGAGCAATAGCGTCTCTGCGATCAAATATCGAACCACTCCTCCTCCGAGTCCGACACGAATTACTACTCTCTCCTGGCAGTAGATATTCCTCCATAGCTTTTTAACTTCCGATTTGAAACAACGAGAAGACAACAGGAGAAGAATGAGTGTATTATATATGCAGTAAAGAAAAAGGGTCGTTGGTATCAGTTAAGATTTACATACAGTAGTTGGGAGAGAATTCCAAAAAGAATTTATGTGGATGTGGAGTGGTTTTAGTCAATGTCAAGACGATTACTAAAAACGGAGATCACTGATCAGCATACGTGTGAAGGGGTGACACAAAATTGTGAAAATAGTGGAATACGTTGATAAACATTGGAGTATAAGAAAATGCAAGGCACTACTACTACTAGGAAAAATATTTAGAGGTCAAGCTTCATGATATGTACGGATAACTAACTATTGATTTTTTCGGAATAGGGTAACTAAGGTAAGTTTAAAAAATTTAGAAAAACTCCACATGTAATATGATGTGACTTCTGTCCAATTGAATCGTTCTTATAAGCTATGTAAAAAAGACAGTACCCGAAAATATGCGGAGCGGTGGAGCTAAGATTTTTATTAAGATGTATCAAAATATATAAAAATAAACATATGAAAAATCAAGGGGGTCAACATATAATATAAATATATGTAACTTACATATCTACACAGTGTATGTGTCCCGTGAAAGCTTTAAGGTGGCTACACAATGATATGGATGAAATAATAAAAAAGTAGAGATCAAATTTCTATGAAAGTAAAATGTAGGGCGAAGTGTAGCAATAGTCACTTTTAAGTTCGCTATTTATAATGTATCCATAATTTATAATGTATTTGAAGATTAGCCAATTCACTCAAACTTCAGGACTAAGTATTCTGAATTTGGAAATTTAGGACTTAATATCATGAATTTTTGAGTTGCTAATTTGAAATTCGGGACTAAATGTCCTGAATTTTTTAACCACTAATTTAAAATTCAGGACATAAGATTCGAACTTCAGGATACAATTTTCGAATTTTAGGACACGATGTCCTGAATTTCTAAATTACGAATTTAATGTTCAGGATATAAGATTCAAACTTCATGACACAATTTTCGAACTTTAGGACACGATGTCCTGAATTTCTAAACTACTAATTTAATGTTCAAAACATAAGATTCGAACTTCAGGACACAATTTTCGAACTTTAGGACACGATGTCCTGAATACTCTAGGGCGTCATGTCCTGAAATTTGAGCGAAATTGGCTAATCTTTAAATACATTATAAATTGTAAATATTTTAAACGGCATACTTAAAAATGACTACCTGATGTCATTTCCACTAAATGTGTATTAGTTTGTGATTCCTATGAAATTAAAATGTATTGATTTGTGATTTCTTTTTATTTACCTAAATTTTGCTAGGCAGAAAAAAAAGCGCATTAGTTATATGGGAATAAATAAAAAACTTTGAAAGAAGAAGACGTGCATCAGCGTGGGATAGTCAGGAATTATGATCGGATCAGCAAGATAGCAACAATGTTAATGTAAACTAATCGATTATAACGATCCATCTAATCTTACTCCCCCACCCACCCCTTTGTTTTTCTTTGGTATAATTTTGACCCATTATTTATTCATTGCCGACAGATCTATCACTGCTAATAATTTATTAGTCTTGCCCATCTTCTGTTCAATTTAAAAGTATNATATATATAAAAATCCTTTTTTCTCCTTTTGAATTGTTTTGTTTTTCCTTAATCTGTTAATCAGATGGATTGACTTAGAATTGAAAGAGGAGAAGGATATGCTGCGGAATATTTTGTTAAAGAAAGATATAAAGAGTGCCTCTGACCACCAAAAAAAAAGGAAAAAAAGGAAAGACCCTTATTATCGTACGAATTAGCATCATTATCACATTTTAGTTGCCTTAACTTCTCTTTTAATTCTCTCATTTCATTGGTTTATAATCATGTTCGAGTTCACACTCACCGAAATGTATTAGATGTACGATTAAATTAACCTATTTTTCTCAAATTTTGACTTGCACGGAAGAAAATAACATTAAATTTTATAATATAAACGAGGGAGAGATGAACTAAGTCTCGAATACACAAATTTAAAAGATTAAAAGATAAAATTATTTGATTTAAATGTCTTCAAGAGTCACAATAAATCCGCTTGTGTAAAAACAATATTACTTTCCCCGATCCATTTTAATTGATTTTTTGGCATTTTCAGTGGTCAACAATATTTTATTTTTTTAGATATCAAGAAGGAATTAACTTCGTTTTCCTAAAGTTACCCTTGGAGTAAATAGTCTCGGAGTATCTGTTGTATTTTTAATAAACAAATTAAAGAGATAGTAAAAGTTAATATGATTAATTTTATTATTAATTAATATTAAAAAGTAGACTTTTTAGTACGTAAGAAAACAACTAAAAAAACCATTATAACAAAGTCACCCTTGTCCTTCGGGACGGCCCAGTTGGTTTGGAAGGGGTTATCCCTAGTGATGACCTGGGATTGATCCACTCATAATGTCTTCTAGGTCTGAGCCTGTCGCACAGGGCTTGCCTAATGTGGTTTACATCTCCTATGTGGTTTGCAAGCTATTACACAGTGGGGGGTTTACCCAATGCGTACAGAATGCTTACCACATAGTGCTCACCCGAAGGACAAAGGTTGTGACAGAAACTGTAGCGACTGCGGGTTTTCCGGGGTTCCAAAAAAACAAAATCACCCTTTCTCTCAAAAGGCTTAACAAAGACATACTTTAACTAGCTTTAGACTTTAGTTAAACTTTATTTGAATTACCTTCTTGGACAGAGTCCGGAACCAAAATGTGGTTCTTTTGAACTCAAACTACACAAATAGGTGGTAAAAAAAATTATATTTTTATATATAGCGCCATAATGCCTGGCGCTATACACTAACAGTAACGGCACTGTTAATGTATAGCGCAAGGTATTGTGGCGCTATACTTCTTTTTCCTGGCCCCACCAATAATTCGTGACTTCAATAATTCAAAAGCGTATAGTGCCAACTTTTTGGGCGATATACCTATATAAAAAAAAATTCCGGCTAGCCATTTCCTATATAAAGAGGTTAGTATTGTATAGAAATTCATTCAAAAAAAAATTTACCTCTTGTTGAAATGTTTATTGTTCTTAAATTCTCCAACATTTTTTCATTATGTCTGAAGAGCGTAGAATAAGAGTTTCATTATATTGAGGGGGTGAGGTTGTGATGGAGAATAACTCCGTGGGCTACAGTTTACCTGCTTAGTGTCATGTTAAATTGCCACTTACAATAGAGTACGATAAA